TAAATATTAAAAAGCCATAAAATTCAACTAATAGACCTGTAGTTTCTGGTTTCTAGATGCATTGGTAAAATAGGAACGTGCCATTTGGATTTTTTGGACTCCAGCTCCCAAAATTTATCCAACTGCAGTTCTAGCAGTTCTAACATATAGACCCATAACTTCAGACCTCTGGAGTTCCCTCTCAAGCAGCAGGAGCTAATCCTCTGAGGCACTATTCTAGGCATTTATTCCCTTTACTACCTGCTGGGAGGAAGCTGCTGCAATGTTTCCTGGTGGTTGTGGCCTTGCCGTCTCTTAGGTTCTATACAGGGTACCTCCTGAAGAACTATAACACCCAGGAAGCATTGTGGTAGCATTCTTTAGACAGTATGGATTGCAGGAAATAGAGACCTAGAATGCAGCTTCAGAGGACTACGTCCCCTGATAAGTGAGGAAAATATGGGTATCTGAAGTGAGTCAATGGGCTAAATCTCCCAGAATTTTGCCTGAAGACTTAATCTGGAAGGTAGAGTACAAAAAAACGTGATGTATACAAACTGAATCATCTGAGATTTTCTTCACATGTAACAATACATGATTCAGCATTACGAGAATGAGCCAGAGCAGGTCTCCGTCTGAGAAGGAGTTATTTTAAATTAACCATAGCTATAACTTAGGATGTTGTCTAAACAATACACTCTGGCCAATCTTAAAAACAGTTTGTTCAAATAACCCTTTTTCATATTTCATAATTTGACGATTTGTGTAACAAACTACAGTTAAGATTACCCATTGAGTTTGAACTACATCTGTTTCATAAAATGGAAATGAAAGTTTCAGAATTTCTCTTTGCATCAGTTTTTTTGCACTTAATTTGACTCAAATTTATGATATTATGATATTAAACTAGTTCATCATAACATGAAATATAACTCAAGAGTTCAAAGCCCTGAAAAAAAATTACAAGCATGTCTTCCTGGGAGGGCAATGAGAACCTCTTAAAAGGCACTTTCCCCTCTTGTTGCAAAGTATGCCATCTCCTTAGCCTTTCTAAATAGTAAATATGAGATTATATGCTTAAGCTGTGCCTAGTAAAGAACACTGTTCTTATCTCACACTTCAGTCGCTATGTTAAATAATGCATAATGAACTTGCTTTTGTTAATTTGTCGAGAAATACGAATGCATATGAATTTTATTTTTCCAACTGTACTCTAGTTGTTTTTGTTGTTGTTAATATTTTATTATTTCTTCCTTTTCAGGGAACATTTAAATTCAAGGGGGAAAGTGATCTCTTCCTTGCTGACCATCACAAACAGCTGCTATACGATGGCAAGCTTTCAAATGCTATTGCCTTTACATACAATCCAAGGGCTACAGATGCACAGCTCTGCTTAGAATCTTCACCCAAGGACAACCATTCAATCTTTGTTCATTCACCACATGCCCTCATGCTACAGGTATTTTAGAGCACCACCTGTTTTCAAGTTAAAGGGAATGGGGTTTTCATTTGTTTCCTTGTCTTAGATAAGTTTGTGTTCTGCTTTGACTGTGGGTCCTTTAAAAGACTTTAGGCCCATCTGTTTGGTTTAAATTTATAGCCTGCTCTGTCTCAAATGTAGTCTTCTATTCTGCTCCCCCCATAGATTTTCCATTCCCACAATTATTTTAACCTTTTTTCTTTGAACTTCTCATAATCACATATGTTCATGTTCCCTCGCATTCTGTATCATGTCAACAAAGTAACAATATAATTTTCAGAGATCCCTCTGAAACATTCAGGTGCATTGTGAATGCTTAGAAGTAATCACACAAAAGCAATATACATTTATAATTTGTTCCACTTGGCCTTAACAGGATGTAAAAGCTGTCGTAACCCATTCTATCCAAAGTGCAATGCATTCAATTGGAGGAGTGCAGGTGCTTTTTCCTCTGTTTGCACAGCTGGACTATAGGCAATATTCTTTGGATCAGCCCGACACAACTGTTTGGTAAGAGCTTTTATTCAAATTCCCAGTTTACTTTTTGGAATGTGTCTTAACAGCTAGAAAAACAATGCTCTCCAATGGTTAAGAATTCTTGTGCTTGATCTTTCAGTTAGACTTTGCAGCAACTGTTATTAAGCTAAGTTGGGAGAGGTTTATCTAGATAAACAGAGTAAGCCGGAGATAAAATGCACATGAAATGATGGGCATGCAGATCTAAATATAGCAAAGGTAAAGATGTCAGGACAGCCAGTTTAGCTTTATAGGAAAAAAATTATCCTCAAATAATGCAATTATATTGCAGCATTGAGCACATTATTTATATTTTCAAGGTTAGATCATGTGCAGAGAAGACCTTGAGATGAAGTCAAGATTACTGGCACCAGGTCTTCTACACAAATTTGTACATCATTCAGTAGCTATGTAATTTATGGAAGGAGGGTTATGGAAAATCTCCTTCTTGGGGATGAATTCTTTCCTGTCAAAGAGCGTGAGAGGTTATTTTTTACAGAGCTGCTGGTTCTTACCAGAGAAAGTTTATCTTCCTGGCCCACTGCTTGATCAGTGAAAGATATCTTGTATATACAAACTACTTGAACTTCACTGTGGGACTGTCAAAAACAAAGGCTAGGTGTGTGCAGAGAACTAATGATATTTCATGGTATGGGCTATAAAAGTGCATTTGTTGTAGCATATTCTTAATACTGTTGCTTGCAACTTCTGGTTATTTCAGGGGGAATGTGTTAAGAAAAACACGTATATGGAAGGTAACAAAATTCCTTAAAAATGCAGCAAAATAAACTCTTTGCCTTGCATTTATAGTGCCATTGGCTCCTAATGTAGTATTTGTGTTTCTGATCCTCCATTTCCACTCTAATATCTGTACTTAGGCTTGCGTGTTTCTGAGTTTCATAATTTAAAGGTCATTAAAAATATGAACCTGCCTTTATATATTAAAAATCACAAAAATAATGAGAAGTGTGAGATGTTTGTGTTTCTGTATTCCTCAGTTCCTGTCCATGAATGGACAGCGCGTCTGTTTATTCACTTACCTAGCTTTATTAAAATATTTCTAAAACTGCTCTTCAGTCTTACAGAAGGAAAATAATTTACCCTAGTTTATTATTAAAATGTATACAAGTAGAAACACCAAAAATACTGAAACAATTATAACTATAGAGTACAAGTCGAAAATCAGATCTTATAAATTAATTAATTTACTTGCACAAATGAAAGGGCTTTGAATTAACAATAGAAGAATTGGAATGCTGGTGTCAATCACCATTCCATTGGCACCAAAAATAGGGCATCAACACAGAGAAGCTTCTATCCCTTGTTATCACACAGTGTATCTGCGGTACATGGAAAAGAGCTTTCCTGGACAATATCACGTTTCTAGCGTAGTGAAACATTACAGATTAATCAGTGAATTGAAATTCAGAGATAGCACCCCTTTTTAAAGGAAGTCTTTCTACACCTGTTTACAGAAGATAGTTTGCTGGGTTTTATTTTCCTGGATTGCATAGCTTTAATTCTTTACAGTTTATAAATTCCTTGTAATTAGCAAAGTAAATCCTAACAGATGGAACGCAAGCCATAACCTACTGCAATTTAGCAAAGGGGATTTGTATATCCCCCCCCCCAGACATTAGGGTTTGGTTTTTTAAGGGACGCATTTGAAAAATATGTCACATTCATGTCCTAGAGCAGGTCATATGTTTAAATGTTGCAGAGCATGAATCGTGCATAATGCTTTGTATACTATAACATAGCTCGCAGCATAGAGTCTTTCAATAGTACTTGCACAATGGTTCATGGAACTGTGCTAATCAGTGCACTCATTCCACCCGTGTTTCGTAGGATCCAGGAATCACCACAGAGTGACTACAGTAACATAGGTAGAAATTATAATAGGTTGTGTGAATTCTGTGGCTTTAGCAGGATTGGATCTGCTTTTAATATATGGTGCTGGATTGAAGAGAGATATAGGTTCAGACATAACAAGACACAACCCAGCTCTTAAACACCAAACCTTAGCATCTTATAATATGGGACTTCAATGTAATGTATTTTTCAGTTCCATTCTATTGGCTTTCATCATGGAGTTGCTGAAGAACTCAATTGCTATGCAAGAACAAATGCTTTCTTGTAAGGGCTTCCTTGTAATAGGATACAATCTTGAAAAGGTAAATGAATTTTTTTTGCTTATTTTTCCCCTCCTTGTTTTGACTCTGTGCTTGCTGTTATGGTTGTATTAAACATTATTTATAAGTTGTCTTGAACACATTCTGTTTCTATTTCTGCAGTCTTCCAAAGCACACATTAGTAGAACTGTTCTAGATCTTTGCCTTGCCTTTGCTAAGTATCTGAGCAATTTGCACCACGGAGTGCCCTTGCTGAAGCAGCTATGTGATCATATTCTTCTTAACCCTGCAATATGGATTCATACTCCACCCAAGGTAAAATGTTTCCAAGTGCTCTAGCATAAAAGGACTTGACATATCTTAGCACCTATTAATGGCTATACGCTTTTGAGATCTCAAGAGTGACTTTCTAAATGATTCTATTTCTGTACAGTTCACACATCACTGTCATTTTCTGTGTCTCTGAAAAGGCTTTTACTTGTAATATTATGGAGAAATGTACTTCTGTATATGATTTAGTGGTATACAGATACAAGGAAAAAAGAATACTTCTTTCACATAAAATATGTGCAGTACATCTTACAAGGTCTGCATAGCAGTGATGCTCATTGAATTCTGTTCACCTTCATACTAGGTAAATGTGTGTAGAAATGAAGCCTTTGGTGTTGTAATTATCCAGCCTCTACTTGTCTGTAGCTTTATTTCTCCATGTGTGTAAAATGTTAATGTCTTCTCTTCCTTGGGTGATATAGATTCAGTTGATCCTGTACACTTACCTATCTACTGAGTTCGTTGGAACAGCTAACATCTACAATGCAATTCGACGAGTTGGGACAGTTCTCCTGGCAATGCATACTTTGAAATATTACTACTGGGTGGTGAATCCTCAAGATCGCAGCGGAATTATTCCCAAAGGCTTAGGTTTGTATAAACATCCCTGCTCTTCATTGAGAAAGCAGTGTTACAGACCATTGCTCTCTTTATTAATTATGTTTGATATCCCAGAATCTAAACAAAGTAGTCCAAACATGACTGACATTCTGTATAGTAATATGTTTAAAGGCTAAGAAATGTATTTTGAACTTTCATATATGTTTACTTCTAAGAACTTTGATATTGTAAGAAATAAACTCTCTGGTTTTTATTGTGCCTCTTACGGCTATATGCACCTGTAGTTTTTGGATTGAAGTATGATTTAAGTTCTTGTCTGTAACTTTTGTAACTAAAAACTTATATATGTTGTGTCAATTTCATGTTGGTTGCTTTGCAGATACTGTCCAGCCATCTCATCCTCTGTCGTCCCCTTCTCCTCTTGCCATCACACTTTCCTAACATCAAGGTCTTTTCCAAGGAGTCTTCTCTTCTCATCAGATGGCCAAAGTACTGGAGCCTCAGCTTCAGGATCTGTCCTTCCAGTGAGCACTCAGGATTGATTTCCTTTAGAATTGATAGATTTGTTCTCCTTGCAGTCCAGGGGACTCTTAAGAGCCTCCTCCAGCACCACAATTCAAAGGCATCAATTCTTCGGCGGTCTGCTTTCTTTATGGTCCAGCTCTCACTTCCATACATCACGACAGGAAAAACCATAAGTTGATTATTCGGACTTTTGTTGGCTTTTTAAGATGCTGTTGAGGTTTGTCATTGCTTTCCTCCCAAGAAGCAGGCGTCTTTTAATTTCGTGGCTGCTGTCTCCATCAGCAGTGATCATGAAGCCCAAGAAAGTAAAATCTGTCACTGCCTCCATATCTTCCCCTTCAATTTCCCAGGAGGTGATGGGACCAGTGGCCATGATCTTAGTTTTTTTTGATGTTGAGTTTCAGGCCGGTTTTTGCACTCTCCTCTTTCACCCTCATTACAAGGTTCTTTAGTTCCTCCTCACTTTCCGCCATCAGAGTGGTATCATCTGCATATCGGAGGTTGTTGATA